CGATATCTTTGTGAATTGTGATTTGTTTTTCATAATTCTTATTAATAATAATTAATCATATATTTAAAAAAAACACCTCTAAGAAAAACCTTTTCACCATTTTGCAAATTTGATGTAGTATGGTGTATTTTTTTGTCATATAGTATACTGTAAACCAATAACTTAATTTTATATCGGCACTAATAATGGCCACTAAATATTATGTTAATTTTATTAATTAAAAAAAATGCTGCTAGGAATTTAATAAAGATCTGTGATAGAGTAGGTAGGTACGTGTTAAACAATGTAAATTTAATTTCATTCACTAGAGTGGTTGAATATGTAACCGTTGCAGCAAATAACATTTTTTTTTAATAAAATTAAAATTCCTATGTATAATTATTATGCTCAAGTTTTTTAATATTTCTTTTTATATATTTTTTTTTAATATGTGTCAATAACGACTTATATAAAATGGCTATTAAAGAAGATTTTAATTACAGATAAAAAGTATGTTCATATTTGTTCCTACAGATGGCTACATTTTCTATTATTTGGTACTTTAAAAATATATATTGCTAGGGTACGTTTTAATAGTTAGTATGGAATAGATAGACTTTATACTACATATATGATATATAGCCTATTTATAGCCTTCCTTAATAAACAGGCTATCTAATGCAAAAATATTTTTTCAAAACGGATAAGTAGTTCCTGAGATTAGCGCGTTCAAACCAAAAAACAAACAAAATCTGCCTCATCATAATATTAGTTTATATGAATGTAACTACTGCATCTCATGCTTACTTAATTATTTATTTATCATAAACTATTCACAGGTAGGAACCTACCTACTTTAGAAAATTTAATAGTATCATAATTTTTTATATTATTGTTGTAGTCGGCTAGAGAGATTTATGAAGTATATATTATCAAATTTTACGGGTTCGATTCTAAGCTAAAATTTAACTGGCTAAGTTTATATTAAAACCTAATTCTGCTTTCGCTAATTTTTATAACTTTTAATTTTGCCATACATCATTTTAATTACTACTCGTAATTGTAGTAAAATAAGTGGATATATTTTGTGAATCATAGTACTTATAATACATTTTACGGTTGTTATTAATTTAAAAACGCTATACGCACGCTGTGTCAACATGTCTTCCAGAATAGTAGAAATAATTATGTTACCATAGTCATCATAATTTTACATCTTTTAATTTAAAATATCTATATTTATTATAATGAATTTAAGTAAATGAATTAAAGAGGCAATAATAATGTGTTTAATTATAATTATTTATTTATATAAAATACAATGGCATTGATGGCAACATTCTTTTTTTTATCATTAAAAATATATGACACAACTGTCATATTGACAGGGTGTGAGTACGAGTAACGGTCCGGTGTGTTATTTAATTATTGTAAATTTAAATTATTTAAATACATTAATAATCGCACATTGTTCTGGGATAATAAGTAGCCTATGTGCTATTTCAGACTATAATCTGCCAAATTACATCCAAATCCGTTCAGCCGTTCTGGCGTGATTAAGTAACAAACATCCAAACGTGCGTCTAAACTTTCACATTTATAATATTAGTAAGATTGAATGGTTCCAAGATACTTGATCCATTGCGATGATATGTAGTTAATACCATTATGATATCGACCCAATTTATAGAAAAAATCCATTGTCGTTTAACAAAAAGAGTTGTTTTCTCGCAAGCACGTCTTAGGTTATTGTGTTTTACAATGAAATAATTAGTTGGTACGGTAACGGCAGATTTTTTCCTACATTAGTTTTACCTCATTGTTAGTTAGGTAATTTAATATTTTTTGTATATTCGAATATTGAGTGGGTGCCCATGAAAAAGTGCGTTAAGTAAAAAAAAGAAGGGAATTTCCAATAATAGATTTGCTCGTATCATTTACAAATTCAAGGATTTTGAGCCAAGATCTACTTTTAAGTTATAAAGATGAGTATAGTGTAAAGTTTTTGATTCATTATATAAAACTCTTTGTAATATTAGATTATGTAAGTGCCTACCTATATAAAAAATATTTTATTTTAATATTTCTATATATCCAATAATAAGCCAAATTAAAGAATTTCTGCATTGAAAATGCTGCAGCACCAATAACTGGGATGATTTTTATAAACTAATTAAGCATATAAAGCACTTTAGTAGATATATCACATTTGTGTACATTTATAAGGAAGTTATTGATCAAAAATTTTCTACAAATATTAGATGTGACCTATATGAAATTTTGTAATGACGAATAATTCTATACTATATTTTTATCAAAATAACTGGTAAATTAATTCAAAATTAATACAAGTTTTGTACCGTTACGATCGTTGTAGCATAACAAAATGCATATAAGTTAAAAATATTTTAACTAGCAATCTGTTCACTAGCCATCATGAAAAAAGAAAAAAAGTAACAAATAATGACAACACCACCCACAGAGTAGAAATATTTAAATATAAATCTCCTTTTGTCTTAGGCTTTGTATAATAAAGTTTTGTTATTTGAATGTGAATTTACAAAAGCCCTTTTATTTTACAGGTAGATAGATACTCTTCAGGTTAAAAAGCGTTAAGGTCTCGAGATCAAGTTCAATTCATTAACTTTGAATGCTCACCTGCCTCAAGTTCGTCTTTCTTACTCCTAGCTGGATATCGACAAAATAACCAAAGAAGATTTATTTCTCCATTCTGCTTTGTGTTTCTTCAATATTTATAAATAATAAAAAATATATATTATAAACTAAGGATAAAGGAACCAAGGAAACAAAAAAGAAAAAAAAACATAACTCAATAATATAAATATTGCATTTATTTCAACGAATTCGGCAAATATAATAACTGTAGATAATAATCATAATAATACTATTTACTTTACAAGATTTTTCATCTTCTCTAGTTCAGACGATGATTATCGCCAAAAATAAACCAAAGATACTTTTCACTGGCTGGCACTGGACTTCACTTTTAAAAATTATTTCGAAAAATATCATCTGAGTAACAGTAAATGCAGATCGCATAAAATTAGGTAAACTTACAAAATACTAATTAAATTAAAGTTATTGGAAGTCGCAATGGAGGCAAATTCAATATCAAGGCAATCGTCAGCTAGCTGACGTACCGAGGTACATATATTCTAAACGAAAAAATAAAAATAATACAACTAAAGAACAAAAATAAATACAAACATAACAACAAAAAGCAAAGAAAATAATAACAAAAAGCGATATGCAAATAATTTTAACCTGTAAACAGTATTTTTGCGCATAAAATATTCAAAATATGTGAACAATTTCTAAGTTTGTATTTGCATTTGAAAGCATAATAGGAGAGTATCTTGGCACGTAAGATGAGGGGTAGGTTTTCATATAATGTATACACGCTTAGAAGCAACACCCGCGGCGCGTGCGACGATTTGTAGCGCGCACAGAAGGCGGCGCGAGCGTCTGACTTCTCTATGTACGGCATATTTAAATTTCAAGAAAATATTTGCATATCGCCCAACTCCCTAATTTTCAACTACTCATATGTAAATTCGAGGAGAAAATCAAAAACTCGAGGCTGTGACCCCACAAGTCTACTGTACTCATTATTATGTAAAATTCTACAAACTTTCTGTGTATGTCTGCATTTATTTTTGTTCCCTTTGCAGAAAATATGCGGAGTAAACTAAAAGATACAGTTATATCACAAGTTTTTAAGATGCCTCTATGAAACGAACAATATATTTATTATACTCTATCTACCCTATGTCGCATACTACTAGACGCAGTACACTTAGCGAACAGAGGTTCGAGATAAATTTTACAGCGACCTATCATTAAACTCTAATAGTATACTTTTACATGATCAAGTAAATATTTACAGTGGAGCTCTGGGTAATAATTTACAAAACACTTGGATCCTACAAGGCACCTTATTTAAATAGTAATAACGACTTCAGGCTTCGCTTTGACTTTACATAATAACTAAATGTTTTAAATTCTCTATAATATATAATTTGGTTTTCATTACAAACTTACAACAATCGACAATTCTCTAAAACCTAATAGGAGTTTTAAATATGAACAACTAGGAAGAATAATATTATGCAACAGATTACTAGTGTTATGCGTAGCTATGCGATGTTGGTTTTCAATGCGACGAATTAATACATATTTAATAAGGTAACGAAAATAAAGGAAACAATCGACATTTACGTAGAATTTCCAAGAAAGTCTTTTGATTGGCGTCATTTAAATAATTGATTATTCATGTGGAGAGAAATGCATGTGCGCCAGATCGGTCTCATTAGATATACGACGTCCTTCACGCGTCCTAACTCCTACCATTGTTGTGTTCGTTTGCATTTAAATAGCGGCGGCTTAGCGAGGGACGCCCACCGGCCCGCCGTGTCGACCGACCGGCACGCCTCTCGAGCCTTTCGCGGCCTGCGAAGACACTCGCTCTATGCGGCCTATCACTCTCACTGCACTGAGCCGTGAAACAATGCTCTAATGTAAACTACCAAGATGACGCGACAAATGTATCTTTGAGACGTGTTGATATCGCTTCGCACTTGGTGCCTTTATATACATACGATTAGAGTAGCATTATGTTATTATTTGTATAAGGAAATATTTATGACAGCTATGAACAGCGACACAACCCATCTGGCGCACATTATTTCAAAGATAAAACAGAATATAGGTACTATATAAGTTATGCTAATAGTCGACATTGAAGAATCAACATCACTTAGAAAATACATAACGAAATCGCGTAATATCTATAAATTATATACAAAAGGACTCACTAGTAGGAAAAAAGACCAACGATCGTCACGGCACTACATGAGCTTCGCTCTAAACGTGGATATGACAGATATCACTGGAAGCAAAGAAGTCCTCGAGTGAGCGAAGCTCGCCGTTGCGAGGTTCTACGAAAAGAAGTCCAGAGCCGTGTAGGGCTTCAGAGCACTAGACGGCTTGGACCGCGGTCAAGTAGTGCACTCACCGTTGCCGGCGAGCTGAGGTCGAAGAAACGCGTTGTGTAACTCGCTACCGAGTCCGCCTTCAAGCCGCGCTGCCATCTGCATAAGTGCAAGCGTACTATCTTCCCCCGCACCAGCACTACTTTCCAGGCGGGCACGCACGGTGGCGATATGGCCGCGCGTGAAAACATGGTCTTGCACCGAATACTTGTGACTGTACTTGAAATCACACACTCGACACTCCTCCGGTGGTTGCGCGTCCGAAACTTCTGACAGACCTGCTGCAAGACGCGCCTTCTTTTCTTTTGCCCTCGCATTTTGGAACCACACTTGAACTACTCGTTTTGGTAAACCGATTTCCCGCCCAAGTGCTTCGCACTCCGCCATTGTTGGTGTTTTATAGTCACCGAACAATGATTTCATAATTTTCACTTGAATAGAAGACATTTGGGTACGGAAGCGCTTGCCTGGAGGCCTTGGCATTTGTTGTTGGCCTGGTAAAGGAGAAGTTGGTTCATCTTCTTCGTAAAACTCCATAGTTTCAGATGCCGTGTCAGATCTTTCGTCAGCATCTGATCCTGGTCGTGACAAATCAACAGGTTTACTGAGATCTAATGGTATTTCAGATTTTCCATGTTCGGGCCGTCTCTCAGTAGGATCGTTGCCACTGCCACCATTCTGTTGTGCCGCAGCGTGAGCTTGAAGTTCACTGACATATCGTTTCATGGACTCCTCACTGTACTGCTTGATAAATTTCTCCATATCTGAGTGGAAAGGCGGGAAAATAGGGGGCAACATGGGAGCCCCCGCTTGGGAAAAATTTTGTTGCCTATCACTTTGTTGAGACCCAAAACTTGGTGTTGATTCTGTACTTAATTCTTCGTCAGGAAGAGTATCGACGTTGATTTCTCCTCTCGCACACTGATCTGCATGTTTAGTACTCAAATGACTTTCGAGTGCACTTTTAACCTTAAACAACGCTGGGCAAAATGGACAACGCTTATTTATTACTTGGGCGTGTGCTCTAAATTGGCCTTTTCTTTCTCGTGCTCGTGTATTTTGAAACCAAACTTGCACCACTCTTTTTTTTAATCCAACCTCACGGGCAATGTTTTCTAGCATCTTTCGTGAGGGATTTGATTCTATTTGGTATTTTTGATAGAGGTAGTCCAACTGTTCTGGTAATATAGTAGTTCGTAATCGTTTGTCTTTTGGTTGTTCTCCTGTATCAGCTTCTTCGAATTCATCAAATTTTCTTTTAGCCACTTGTTGATTCAATGCGGCTACTAAAGGATGGCGCGTTTCATCATTTGTAAGAGAAGCATTCAGTTGCTGTAGCTGAGCGTGTTGTTGTAAGATTCCAAAAGGGGAATCAGGTGGATATGTTGGAAACAAATTGGGATTCATAATATGTATAAGTTGATGTTCCCGCCATAAATCAAATCTTGGGAAGACTAGATTACATTTGTCACATTGAAAATTACCATCTTTCTCCTCCCTTGGCTGATGTGTTAAGGGTGTGACGGGGGTGTGTGGAGTTAGCGGAGCTGGAGAAACTGGATAGTTTGGGGCCGCAGGCGTGGGGGTTCGAGGTGGTGCCGGTGACACTGGCACATGCGGAACGTGGTGTTCTACGGTACTTGAATTAGAGTCTTCGCTACTAAGGGTAGCAGCAACTTGAGCGGCAGCAGCCTGCGCTTGCGCCGATCGTTTCGCATCCTCTTCCTTAAAACAATGAGTTTTCTGATGTCTTATTAGTTCATAATATCGTTGAAAAACTAATTGGCACTTCTTACACTGGTAATTAAGGCCAGGTGTTCTTTGAAATCTATTCGCGTCATCCATTGATCCAGCTGGTGGATCAGCAGCGGGTTGGTTTTCATAGACTTTTCTTGCCTTTTGACGCGCATTTTGAAACCATACTACGATAACTCTCGGGCTTAATCCCAATAATTTTGAGAGATATTCCAAGTCGTCGTCTTTAGGATACGCATTATTCTCAAAAAACTCTTGAAGCACTTTGATTTGATAATCAGTGAATCTAGTTCTGTTGGCGCGTTTGCCAGAAGACCCCGAGCTGTTGGATCCGTTCGAGTTGCCCCCGGAAAGTCCGAAATCGGCCGGTCCCCTGCCAGGACTGAGGCTGCGATTTGGGGTCAAAGGTAGGACGTTCGGGGGCGCGGAGTTTGGGGACGTGAAATTTGGATTTAGTTTTGGTGGTAACATTGACGGATGTGGTGGTTGCGGTATACTCGTAGCAGGTATTGAATCCAATTGGGATTGAATTAGAGAATTCAGTGACAAATGTGTTGGTGTTTGAGGTCGTGATATATTTTGTGTATTATCAGGATTACTTAACGCCGGGCTTTGTGATGGCATCTGTTGAAAGCTAAAAGTTCGGTCTTCTTGATGACGATCATCATACGAATTGTATTTTTCTTCCATAGTGGGCTCGTCATTCGGTTCAGATTTTACATCTTGCTGGCTTATCATGGCTAAATCTTCAGTCCTTGGTTTTTTTTCAGGCGGTGGTTTGCCTTCATCAGAACTAGCTGAGGAATCTAGAGGTGTTACTTTAGCCTCACCTGTTTTCTCATATTCTTCCAGATTTAGTGTTGTTGACGGAGGATTATTAAAATTATAAGGTGAATCCTTATTACGCTGGCGTTCTTTAAATAATGTGTTTCGGAACCAATGTTTGATGACCTTCGTGGCTAGTCCAGATTGTTTAGCCATTTTAGCAATTGCTTCGTCGCTCGGCGAGTTGTTAATGTCAAAGTGCGATCGTAAAATTTTTAATTGCTCATCTGTGATTCGTGTTCGAGCGCGTTTTTGTCCAGCTGCAGCATTTGCCTGTAAAAAAATAAAAAAAACATCATAACCACTAGAAAAAAAATTACACACTATATTTTTTTTAGGTATTTTAAATTTAGTAAATAAAATTGAGATTCAATATTCTCAATAATTTTAAAAGTAACAAATATCTACAAATATAATTGAGGTTAAACTACATGTAACTATAAATAATAATTCTTTGTGAAATAATAATACTTCACCCCTCGAGAAGGGTAACAATGAGCGCTCTGTTACTCGTGCAAACAGATAGGTACCGCTTATCTTACAATACTGTAGATATCCTTCTTGCTTTACGATTGAAATTACACAGTAATACTGACAAAACTTAATCGAACGACGTTTAATATTCGACAAGCAAATATAAGAATGTAGTCAAGAAGGTTCTTATCACAAGTACCAACTGATGTGTTTTAAACTCATAGATAATCTAAATGAATACTGCTTTACAATTAAAGAATTTATTAAGGCCTTAAGCTCAAATATAGTTAATTTTGTTTAATTATTATACAAAGTATATTCTCAAAAGTTTTAATTAATAAATCAAACTACTAATGTTACAAGTGTGTGTGTTTGAGCGTTACTTCTTACGTTGTAATGACTCGACGGATTTGTGCGAAATTAGAAAAACAGCTTATTATTATCGTTACCACGCCGCGATACAATGGCTAGTGTAACATAAATATAAATAAACTAGCGACTCACACTCACTTCGCTTGGGTTCGTCCCTAGCTTGATTCCATATACAAACTTTCATCACCATTTTCACCCCTCTAAGGAATGATTTCCGGGATAAAAAGTATCCTATGTCCTTCCCAGGGTCTCAAACTATCTTTTTACCAAATTTCATCTAAATCGGTTCAGTAGACCCAGAGATTACCCACTACAAAGTCATAAACTCACAATCTCACAAACTTTATCTATACATAGAATAAATTTCTAAGTCGAATCTGTACCTACATTAAATATTTTTTGGAAAAACTTATTGAAATAGACATTATTATCCATACAGACGCTGAATCTATAGTTTTTAGAATTTTTGTCTGTCTGTTACCGCATCACGGAATAACCACTGGAGGGATTTTGATGAAATTTGGTATGATGGTAGCTGGTTATCCGGGAAAATATCTCATTTCTAAGAAAAAATACATAAACTGCATTGTAAGAGTATACTAATATGTAAAACCTAAAAATTAGGTTTTTGGTCATCTGAACGCGGGCGGAGCCGCGAGTAATGCTAGTCTCTTTATAATATTAGTAAAGATATTTATATATCTTATAAATTGTTATAAATCTTTATCTTATAAATTGTTATAAATATTTATATATCTTGATTTTGTTTTTTTTTGTTGAAAGGTGAATTAGTCGGGAGTGTTATTAGCTATGTTTGATGAAAATCGGTCCATGATGGTAGGGGGTTTTTAAATTTTTCATTTATCACTTGTGTATTGCCTATTCATTCAGTTATCTATTCCCTTCTTAGAAAATAAAATCATACTAAGATGGAGCTGTGTAATTATATTATAGTAAAACATCTTTTTATGTAGAGGATAATCTTTAGGACCACTACAACAATTCTTTTAAAAATACGTTAATATGTAAGTATAATATTTATGACTAACATAGCCAGCCAGCCATAGCATTTTTTTATGTTACATATGTATAGTAATTTCATTTTTGTTAATAATTTCAACTTGTTAATGTTAATTAATTAATTATTATTTAATATAAACAAGCTCATTTTTATATGAATTTTATTTCTATGAATGAGCCTCGTTTTTGCATATTGGACATTAGTAACTATTTAATACATTTGAATGGAAATAAAACTCCTTACAATTTAAAAAGTTTTCAGTTAGTCCTTTCGGTAATTTAAATAATACATACTAAGAAAGGGCTACCTATTTATATCTTTACCATTAAGTTGTTAACATGAACTTCTAAAAATTGAATTTTTAACGTAAGTTGTGTAATGTGTAGGTAAGTATATACGTACGTAAATTTTTTATTAATTGAACTGAACGTATTTTTTTAATTAAGTTTTCACTCTTTATTAGTTACTTTATTTTGTATTTTTTATTGTTTACGATTACCAATTAAAAGTTGCAAATAGTAATTACTTAAGTATGCTGTTATTTATTACAACTATAAATATAACTATTTTACTTTGTATTTGTTTTTAACACAATTTGCTGAATTATGAATTATCAAGCTTTTGAAGAATAGTGTAAGTATAATTTTCTATTTTAATTTAATATTATAAATCTAATATTATAATTTATATAAAATGACTCACCTGCTGTTGTTGCTGTAACAGCTGTTGCTGTTTTAGTTGTGCATCATGCGAAAAAGGCATAGCGTCAAAGGGCGGCGGGGGCAGCATGAGTGACACCAGAGGCGGTTGTAAATTCATGGCTGCCAGAGCACCCATGTTCAAGCCCAAGGGAAGGCCAAGTGAGAGCATCTGTGCCATCATCGGATGTAACTGTCCGAGCTGTTGCTGCAGCTGTAACATGTTCAATGCAGCTTGCATCTCCTGCACTTGAGCCGCTAATAAGGCGCCGGCCTGCGCATCTCCTGGACCATTAGCGCTTTCATTGAAGCTGTTGTCACCTCGTGGTGATGGTGACCGGTCACCCGGAGGCGCCGGAGACGCTGCACGTGGCGAATTCGGTGCACCAGATTTCCTCTCATATTCTGATTTAAACTGTTCTGCAAACTGCTCCAAAAACTCGAGCGGAACTTTGTCCTTGTGCACTTCTTCACAATGAGTCTTTAAAACGAAAACACTAGAAAATTCCTTGTTGCAATGCTGACACGTCGATTTCGTTTCTCCATCTGGGGGCTTCTCCTCAGGCGGTGGGGGCGGCGGACTCGGTACTCGAACCATCTCGCGTTCTTCTTGCAATTTACGCCTCTGATTCTCATTGTACTGCATCACGAGGTCGAATCCGAACGTTTCAAGTAGTTGTTTATACATTTGTGAGTTACGTTTGGGCGGGTTGCCCTTGGCTACCATCTCGTCAAGAGCCGCAGCTTCTGCTTCACCAAGTGGCGAATGCGCCCGCGCATCGCCAAACGGACATAGAGTTGCACGATGTGCGTCGAGTAGCTCCCCGGTAGGGAATGACGCGTGGCACCGCTCGCACGAGGCGCTACCTGCGCGAGGGGACCGCGGGCTACCTGGGCGCGCGGGGGGCGAGGAACGATGCCCCCCGCTGCTTGTAGACGAAGGGGATGTATTTTTCGGCGACAACACGTCTTGTAAAATTTTAGCAGAATCATTTCTATCCGGCTGTTCGACTAAAGGTCGTGTCAAGTCCACGTGGCCCGCCGCGGCGAGCTCCTGTAGCTTTCCCGCCCTTGTTTGATGTAAAACCGATCTCATATGAATATCTAACGTACTACCTTGAGTATATGCTACTTTGCATATATTGCACTTATAGCGTTTTCGATCGTCTTCTTCACTAGAGGTACTTTTGGGAGTAAGAGTTAAATTAGAGGGCGCAGTACCTGCGCCGGGCGAAACAGGAGGATTGTTATTGTTTTGCTGTTCTTGCATAGCTCGTTTTAATTTATGTAAGTGGCTTACACTATTGTAGTGAACGAGCAAAATGTTCTTTTGCGTAAATGATTCCTTGCACACATCACATTTAAATGGTCTATTTGGGTCTAAATATTTTTCCATAGGGTACGTTAGCTTCTCACCTTTTCTATGTAAAAGAGTTTTATTATGTGCTGTCAAATAAGACTGCCGAGTAAATGCAACTTTACATCTATGACATTTGTATTTTCTATTTGGATCGTTATATGAATCTTCTGCCATAGCCTGTGAGTTTAGATAATCTTCGAGGAACTGTTGATCTTTGTAAATTATTGAGTCATCAGAATTTTCGGCATCGTTGTGGCCAGATTCATCAGCCGCGGTCGCGCTAGAATCTCTATCTTCCATTTCACCGAGCTCATCTTCAGGTGTCCTTAATGCTTCTTTACGTAATAAATCAGCCGTCGCAGCATCTAAGGCGATACCTTGGCTTGGATGTAACAGAGGATTAGAAGCAAGGCTACGTTTAAAAGCAGCTAATTCGTCTTCTGATAGTTCAGGATGTGATGTTTCGACATGTTTCTGTAAAGCTAGGACAGATCTAAAGCTTCGACCACATAGTACACATTTGGTAGCATCACGTATTACATGATATTGAGAATGCAATTGTAACTTTTCAACAGTTTTAAATGCCAAACTACACTGATTACATCTGTATTTATAAACATGTTTTTCAGATACTGACATATTCGCAATAGAATTACGAGCATGAGCTTCTCTAAAATGATTTTGTAAGGCATGAGCTGAATCAAAATATCTATTGCATCCTTTTTTCCAGCAAACATAACCAGGTCCCTGAGGTGTTTGTTTCAATTCTAAATGACCGGATTCATTTTGATGCTGACACAATTCATCGACATTGCGAAACGTTCGGTTACACGTCGAACATCGTTCAGTTTCACCGTCTACGCTACCTTCTGAGCGAGGGGATGAAATTTCTCTTTCATTGTCTTCACCTTGTCTTGAGTCTTCTCTTTGTGGTTGTGTAGCTCCATTTAACCAGTGGCTTTGGTCTACTAGCAGTAGAAGTCGCTGTAGTCCTTCTGAATTAACTGAATGAATTTGCATTACGTGTCTTTCTAGGGCTGGTCTCTCTTTGAAAGCATCTTGACATAAAGGACAGATGAAATGGCGTAAAGTATCACCATGCACTGAGTTAACATGTGCTTGTAGTTTGTTCTCACTTCCACAGCTAAAGTTGCAATAAGGACATACATGTGGTCCAGGCGTTTCTTGCTCTTCATCTTTATCATTACAACTCGGCTGTTGTGGAGGTTGTTGTACTGCTTGTTGTGACTGCATCTGTTGCTGTTGTTGTTGATGTTGTTGCTGCTGTTGTTGATGTTGCTCTAAGAACCGCATCATTTTTTGTTCTTGCGTCAATTCGGGTTTCTGATCGATTGGCTCCTTGTTATCTGTTGACAAATATAATATTTTTATGATACATTTCTAGATTTTTTTGTAATCACTTTTTTAATTTTATTTATATTAATAATTTCATTAAAAAATCATTTAGATACACAACATATTCGACGAACCTCTTATTACAAAATTCGCTAACAGAATGGATATAGATCAGTAAAACGCGTTCATATATGATGTACATACAATGACTACCTACGTCTACGTGAGATTTATCTACAAAAAAGATTATTTCTATAAATGAAGCTGACTATTGTTCGTTGTAAGCGTTTGTTACTTTTCTGAATTGAAGTTAAAAATAAAATTCTTCTCCTTTATATTATTAGTAGGACTCGTTTTGTTTGCAACGTCCCGACAAGACAAAGGTATCGCTCTATCCATCCCGCACACACACATTCAAGGATGTATTAATGCTAACGTAACAAGTATATTGTAATTTTGCACACAAAGGAAGATACAGGACGGGCAAACAATCATTGTTCATTATTACAAAAGGTTTGGAATATTTCGTTTCGCATCGGATCAAATGTGTTCGAATGATCGACATACGTGATGATGAGTGTGAGTGAGAAGAAAATTTGTATTTAAGGGATGTGTGTGTGCAATTATTATTTGACCAGGGACATGTCCGCTACGGCGTGTGAAAGAAGCTGGCTCCCATTGTTTACGCTCAAATAAGGAAGGTAAAAGAAACGGCCGATGCGAGAAGCACATAAGATTCGTTAAAATTACAATTAAACGTACGGTAACAATTTTCGTCTTAATTTTATATTATATTAAAATACTTTTATATTACTATGCATGATCTGAAAGAGCCCCTAGGCTTATAAAATTTTCTGATTTTTAAAACGGATCAATTGTTATTTTGATGCCTAAAATTTAATATGGACCAGTTTCTGTAAATATGGATAAGGATAACATTTTTTTAAGATATGATAAAGGATTAAAAATACAATTTAATTTTGTTTCTTAATTAGAACTTCAAAAATAATCTCACAGTCGGACGCAGCTGAAACCAGTCTGTCCCCTGTGTGGGAACCTGTTTCATAGTTTTAAGCAGTTAAAACCGTTACATCTAATGAAGGGGAGCGGGATAAGTAAATCAGGAATATAATAATAATCAAAATATAACTGACCCTAATCGTGGACTGGAGTGACCAGTAATGTAATTATTTATAATGTGAAATCGCCGACCCAAAGTCTGGTAGGAACATAGAACAATGGCCAGGTAAAGGGACTATGTCTGCATAAATGCCATCTCCAACGCTTTTTGTCAATGGACAAAGGGTCTTTTCTAAGGAAACACCACATCGTTATAGCGTCGTAAAGTAAGTATTGTGCATTGAGTTTTGTTTTGCGAGATTTAGGTCAAAATTTTTACAATGTGGCGTCAAGAATATAATAAAATTTTTGAATATTTTATATGCTTTGCTTTATGTGACTCGGGGATTTGAAAATATAAATTGCATAGATAAGCTGGTATTTTGAACACAACATAAAACTTTGTTTCACTATCTGAAACATTTCAGCATTCTGAGCTCTGAGCTTTTCTTAATTCATAATGCTATCAACTATCATCAAACGACACTTTAGTTTGTTTTTATTAGTTTAGGTGTATGAAAATTCTAATCTAACCTTTACTAAGTAGGTATCATTGATATATTTTCTTAATCATAGGCAAGATATTATTAATATTAAGGAAATGATGATTTATACATTTGAAGTGCATTACAATCTTATAGATAGATCCCATGAATGTAAAGTATGGAGTACCTATATTATTCTTAACTAGCGAATCACCCTCGCTTCGTTCGGATTTTTTCTACACTACGGGAACCGTACGTTTTTCCGGGATAAATACTGACCTATGTGCTATTCTACGCTACAAATTTCAAATTTTATTTACATCCGTTTAGCCGTTCTGACGTGATGAGTAACAAAAATCCATTCAAGTTTTCGCATTTATAATATTAACGTTTTCGCGTTTAGTATAGATTTCTCAGAGATGATATATTTTCCCACAGTAAAAAGTTCTATATGTTGACCCGGATAGCTAGCTATTATCATACCGAATTTCATCAAAATATGTCCATTGGTTTTCTCGTGATGCATTTCCAGTCAAACAGATTGACAGACAGACTTACAGGCAAAAATTCTAAAAACTATAGATTCGGCATCTGTATCGATAATAATGATTACTTCAATCAGATTTTCTAAAAAATATTTTATGTAGGTACAGATTCGACTCAGATTTTTATAATAAGTATAAACTAGCGACCCACCCTCGCTTCGCTTCGTGTTCGTCCCTAGACAAAAACATATCTATCCCACGGGAACCATACATTTTTCCGGAATAAAAAGTAAAAAACCTATGTGCTATTTCAGACTTTATAGTAGTGTGTGCCAAATTTCATCCAGATCCATTCAGCCATTCTGGCGTGAAAGAGTAACTAACATCCATCCATTCATCCTTACAAGCTTTACATTTATAATAGGTATCAATATGGATGGGATTAGTATTTTATAGTATTTTTTTCGAACAAAAATCGTTCTTTATGAATTATACCTATAATTTTTTAATTCACTAAGAATTATAACTCAACAAAATCTATAGGTACATATAATAAAATTCTGCCTGTAATAAGAATCTGTATTTACATTAAATATTTTTTGGAAAATCTTATTGAAATGAACATTATTTTCGATACGGAGGCCGAATCTATAGTTTTTAGAATTCTTGTCTGTCTGCCTGTCTGTTACCGCATCACAGAAAAACCACTGGAGGGATTTTGATGTTTGGTATGGTAATAGCTGGTTAACCGGGTCAACATATAGGATACTTTTTAACGCGAGAAAATGTCTCACTTCTGAGAAAAAATACAAAAACTGCAATGTAAGAGTATACTAATACCTATGTAAAACCTAAGAATTTCGTTTTTGGTAATCTGAACGCGGGCGGAGCCGCGGGCGGAGCCGCGGGCAATGCTAGTAAACAACTAAAATATTACTTTTCTGACAGTATTAAATTGAATAGGTACAAAATATTTTTATATTTATGCTATAAGAGTATCAAGTGCATCGATCATTAAAGAGGGTTTTATGAAGTGAGACTCAATGCTGTAAGTTGGATTTATTTCGCTTACGCATTTCACTCGGACTTTATCGTATTTCACCTTGGCCGTAAACATACGACAGGCAATGCGGCCGGCGACATTGTAAGATGATGTAGCCTCATCACAAGGGGCAATCATCCTTAATGCGCGATGGCCACATACGTAATGCGAGTCATTGTCCCGCATGCGGTACTTATGGAAAATTCGCGTTCTCAATTCAAATCTTCTCTCCGTCTCCTTCGCTCGCGGGGCGGAGCCGCCTCCGACCAATGACGACTTCGACTGTGGCGACACCGTGTAAGGCGTAAGTTATTAAAGAAACCTGTTCTAATGTTGTGCGCTTTAAATTAAATTTTGGTCCGTGTGTAATTCATTAATTATCTCATTATTGTAATTACGAATTCTTCGCGAAATGTTCCTCGTTTATGGATAGATATTGTTTATATAACGTACCTATATACGTAAATAGGATATGTCATGTATGGACGAACATGTGGCCTTTACTAAATATCTATAATTCTTAATTAATAGGTATAAAATATCTATTACGTTTTTTTTATGTATTATATTTTATGATTTGTGAATAAATATTGTTTTAAGAAATGAAAAAATTGTAACCCTATTTAATAGACGGAATATCAATTGTAATTAGGTAGTCTTAATTTTAATAAATCAATTACAACTATTAAAACATAAACGTAACAATAATAACAAGTATATCTTGTAGTACTTACTGAATATATGAAAGGCGTATATTTATTTATTCCCATAATCCACAAAATTCGATATTTGTAAAAAATGCAGTACAAAATTGATTAAGGAACGAATCGTATTAAATTGGAAACCGATAGTGACGTTTCGAAATCACATTCATAAGTCGGTCCGGTATTACTTTATCGATACGGAGGCAGTAATAGTTTTAGTTGAATTAATTTTAATGGGATTTTCACGCCTTGTAGAATAAAAGTTGCGAAATGTATTTATTTGAAAACTAAAATAATAAAACACTATACTTTAATACTCTAAAAACTAGTAATAATAGGTTTTAGCGAATACTCAAAAGTAATTATTGGGTATGAAGCGCACGCGCATCTAATTGCGCGTTTTTGTATGTCTTTTAGTATAGATATACTTTTTATAGCTATGTTTTGTTTCCATCTTAGGCATCATTAGAACTTGTTACTTTAAGAGACAATGACTCTAGGAAGTTAGTTCACAATAATAATAACAATAGGATAGTCACGGTTGGAAAGGCATTAGTGGCAAACACGAGTAACAATTTCCTTATTACCACTCTGATAAACATGAAAAGAAATAGCTATCATACTCAATAGTCACCAAAACATTAGCATAAGTAATTAATAATAATATTGGATTAGCATAAGAGGCTTGTCGTATGTGAGTGGTTATAATTAAAAAAAAGCTTACCATTTTCTTGTTGATCATATGGACTAGGCAATTCTGAGGGTTGTGAAATGACTTGGAAGAGTTCAGCTACATCAGGTGTAGGGTCTTTTCCCTCAGATCTTCGCTGCAGTTGATGAATTTGTTCCATTTGTAAGTGTTTAACGGAACGAACATGTTGTAAGAGTGGCAGTCGATGGGGAGCACCGAAACCACATAGTGCACATCGGTAAACACGAGGGCGCTCACGAGGTATCCTGGAAGCACCTTCGCGAAGATGTCTTAATAAAAGCGTGGCTGCTTCATGCCTGGCTCCAGCAGCGTGTAGTTGTAGTTTATGTGCTGAGTTAGTGTAATAATCGCAAGCACAACATCTGACTTGTACGCCACCCACTCCTGCACCGCCAGTCCCAACTCCACCACAAAACTTCAATTTCCATTCATTTCTTGGTCCACCTTCCTTCACATGATTGACATGTTGTAGCCTCTGGAGATGCTTATCCGTTTTGCAATGTAATTGAAAGTTAGCTTTTAGATTTGTTTTGTACGTGCATAACTTGCAAACGTAATGTCCAGCTACTAAGGCTAATATTTCCTGTTCTCTTATTTTTGTGCGATCTTGTGCCAAATGGTGACCGAGGGCATCCAAAGAATCTGTTGAAAAGCAATTGCATATACAGCAGTGAAAAGTTCTTTCTGGTTCAGGATCTGCTGGTTCCGGTGGAGGTTCCATGGCTTCAGGATTTAAGCCAACATCTAAGTGGGCACCTAATTCTGGAGGAGATGGTCCTGGGCCTCCCGTCATAAGTTGAATCATTATAGCTTGATTATAAGCCATGTCAGCTAATGCTGCCTCTGGGTTGGGGGGAGGGGCATCTCCGCCATGAAAGTGCAATAAGCTTTCAAGCTGTTGCTGACTTTGCTGTCTATGATGTAAAGCTGACAGAGTTTGCATATGCTTGACGTTTTGTTGAAGTACAAGCATATTGTGGGTATGTTTCTCAGATGTCATATGAATTCTTAAATTACGAGCAACATTTGTTTCATAGTTGCATACGTCGCATCGAAACGTAGGTTTCGGTTTTTGACCTAAAGGTGAATGGTGTGGTAATGGTGGTTTATGAGCACCAGGTGGAGTGTGCTGAGCTGGTGGTAAACTTCCTTCACCTGGATTACCACCATTTTGTAATTCTTGCATATTATTTAAATGTTTATCAGACTGCATATGTATGCTCAAATTTCCCTTAGTTGTTGTTGAGTAATTGCACACTTCACATCGATATGGTTTGTACCCACAAGTATAAGTTTCACCGCGTGCTAATCGTGGATGGGGTTGACCAGCAATACAATAGATACAACTTGTTTCAGCTTCTGGATGTTTTTCTTTCATGTGTATTTCTAATGTCTCTTGATATTTATAGTGCCAATTACATTTTGGGCATTTTAATGTTTTACAGGAATTTCTGCTATGCATTCCAGCCAAAGGTCCACCTAATCTACCTGAATTTAAAATAAGCTCGCATTTCGGGCAATCAGCACCAGATGGTCGTCCACCGAGATGATCAGGACATACTCCTATCGTCGTACCCGAAAGAAATGCTGGAGGTGCTGCTTGGAACGGTGGTGAAGAATTTGGGCTAGCCCGTGGTTGTACTGAAGCGTTGATTGTATGAGGATGAGCTACAGAAATCATGGAATGTTGCGGTAATAAAGAATCAGCCAAAGATCTCGGCGGTCTCCAGGAAGGTGGACTCGGCCTTCTATCATCACATGAACCATTAGGTAGCATTGATTCATTATCTCTGTCCGGGGTTAATGTTTCCTGGCGTTTTTCAATCGTAGGACTCGATAATTCAGACATGTTAGCGGGACTGCCTGAAATTGAAGCTCTAGGCGGCGCAGCAGCACCAACTGGTTCTAAAAATGAGACTAGTGGTTCTTTGTCTTTTCCAACACATTGTATAATAGCTGATGCGTTTTCTCGTGATAAGGCATCTCTTTCTGAGTCGAGTAATGATAAGCTATGATCTGATTGGGCATGTGCTACGAAAGATTTAGCATATCCAAAACTCAATTTACATATAAAACACATAAGGATTGGTTTAACTGGCACGCTAACGGGGCATTCTGGCACTGGTGACATTGGTCTAGGAGCGTCCTTTCCTCCGCGAAAACTAAACACTCGATAACTATGCATCACAGGCGCATCGGGCCTCGCCCGCGCTCGTTCAGCAGCTAGTCTTCCATACAGGGCACCGTAAAGTGAAGGGTTCCTCGATACGTAGAACGCACTCGCTATTTGAGGGAACTCAAGTTGCCTTTCAACTACGTTGCTATCTCTGCTGTCGACAATGCAACCGGGCTCTATTTTAGGTAAGTCTGAAAGGCTGGTTTCACCTTCTGATATTTCTGGATCCTCAATAATATAGGCAGATCCATCAGGATTGTAGACAATTTTGCCATCAAAATGTTCAACATCAGAAGAGAGCGGTGGAGAGTCACGTCGCGAGGTGAGATCTACGGCGTCTGGAGCAGCTGGAGGTGATGTGGGTGCAGGCGCGGATGAAGGCGCAGGGGCAGGCGCCGCTGGGGCTGCAGGAGCGTTTCGCGGCTCTTCCTCAGGGCTCATATCGCCGTCGTCTTCGTCCGGTTCGAGTGCGGCTGAACTCTGTGGATCGTCGCGCTTGCGGCGCCGCTTGCGCTCCGGAGGCGGGCCGCTAACGGGGCCGCCGGGCTGCAGCGGCGTGGGCATGGCGCCGGGCGTCAAAGGCCGGCATCACATGCTCTCCTGTAAAGAGAAAACAATATTAAGTTTTAGTACATAAATAACGGACTATTGTAAATGGTAGTTATATATATGTGTGTGTGTACGTTTTTTACTTCCTTACGCTGAAACAGCTGGACAAATTCAGTACACAAATTGACTATGATCTGAAGTGATGTACTATAGCGTACTGTTTATGCGCTCATAAAGACGCACTCGAGCATGCGAGAAATGCTTTTTCATTTTTTTTCTACAATCGCTATTAAAAACTGCCATCTTTAAATTTACAACTTAAATTAAATTTTTATCCCACAGGAATGATTTACCGGGATGAAAATAATCATGTTTAGGGATAACTTATAACGTTATCAATGATATGATCTAGGTAGAAACATATGTAGATGGAAAGTTTCATTGAAATCCGTCGATTGGTTTACGTATGATTTTATGATTATTTTTTACTAATATTTATACTCTATCTTCACATATACATACAATCATCCGGTGATTTTCAATATAAATCGAAAATGTATGCATCTAAAATCAGCGGCAAGCTGAACGTTGTCTTTTAGTGAGTCGCTCTATGTTTAATAATAGAAATATTTTTTCGAAATTTATATTAATAATGATATTTTGTTATGTATGCAGTATGTAGCAGTACCTTTAATCAAACATTCGATTCCTGGAGAGAATTGCTAGTTCAAATTAAAAAATTGATAATAGACGCTTATCTAACTGGTATTTACGCAAACAACTACGATCAATTTATCCATATGACAGCTTGTCATCGCTGTCAACTGTGACATTTTTAACCGACTTATTACAATTAAGCAACAAATATTATAGGACCTCGACAAACATAGATTTTACGATTATGATGTCACGAACTTAACGAAATTCTTCCTTAAACTTATTAACATAAGGGGCATGTATACAAAATACAAAAACGTCGATAAAGTAAGTTGTAATCTAGAATAAAAATTCGTTAAAATCATGAGATTAAGCCGTCATCTCTGTTATCAAAAGCGTTATCAAATATACATAGGTAGAGTCAGAATTTCGAAATAATATTCCTTAATACCTATCTTAGTAACAGATATTAGAACATAAAGTACCTTTTATTATAGTACAATATGTTTTAAAATTTTGGAAATGAGTAAAAAAAATAATAATTATTGTGTAAAGATTAGTAAAGTTAAGCTGACTAACTCATACATCGTAAATTGCTAATCACTCTGACTAATGAGTGAATAACAGCAGGATGCATAGCCGATAGTGTAGCTATATATATATATATATATATATGTCACCTAAACATAAAATTGTAATAATATTCTTTTGCACCGGATGTTCATTTTGTAGATTATCTACACAAAATTGAAAATATTTTTTTAACAATTAGAAGACCTTGAGTAGTTCTTTGATTCTCATATAGGGGACCACACCTATCGACTTGTTTGCATTTCTAACGGTCGAGCACGGCCCTTTAACGTGATTAAATTATAGATTATACTACAAGAATTTGATAACAATTTAAATATTGATTCAGACGACATATTTTTTGTGGAAGAAATTGTTTTTGTGATACTGTTTATGCAAAGTTATTATATTTATCTTGCTTGATTACTACTTCAAATTATCTTATGGAAGTAATACGAGTTGTGATCCCTGTAAACTGTCATTAAATGATGCAGTAAAAAGGATTTAATTACTATTGTAATTATTATGCTCTGCAAAAGCAATTTGTAGGGAACTTCTCAACTAATGTGTGTGGCAATTATGCAAAGAAAGAGAAATTAATGTGTAGGTACTCAACGCGATTCTGAATTATGCATAGTTTGTTTATATATGAATTTATCTTACAATTAGTTATATATTTTCTTATCATCGTGCGTACTTAGAGCGTAAAGTTATACTTATTAGATATTACCTTAGTAGATTTTTTCTGATTAGAAATACGCTTTTTAAATGTAGAATGTGATATTCATATTTAAGTCTCGTGTAACATTTAAAGTCAATCAGAATATTGATTACCACGCCACTACTTTTTATTAAATTATTTTCATTTATATTTTATCTATACATATAATAAAATTGTAACTAAGCCGAATCTATACCTTAAATGTTTTTGAAAAATCTTATTGAAATAAACATTATTATCGATACAAAGGCCGAATCTATAGGTTTTAGAATTTTTGTCTGTCTGTCTGTCTGTTACCGCATCACAGAAAAACCACTGGAGGGATTTGGATGAAATTTGGTATGGTGATAGCTGGTTATCCGGGTTAACATATAGGATACTTTTTACCGCAGAAAAATGTCTCATTTCTGAGAAAAAATACAAAAACTGTAATGTACTGTAACTGGAAGAGTATAAGGGTATACAAATATGTAAAATCTAAGAATTTAGTTTTTGGTCACCTGAACGCGGGCGGATCCGCGGGCAATGCTAGTACAATATATATTCGAGTAGGTAGGTATAGATAATTTGACAATTAATATTTGACCTTAATGGTTACATGTTTAAGTTTTCCCATCTTTACGTAATTTTAATTTTTCTAATTTATTCTATTAATTTGAGCGTTAATTTTATTATTTCTAGCTAATTCATGATAAATAATCATAAGCCATATTAAAATATATACATCTACGTGTAAATTCTACACCCATTACCTACATACATGTACTGAGTGTGAGAACCTAAAGGACAAAATGACGCGTTCGTTGAAATGATACACTATCATTTTTTCTATGTAACCGTTTATCTACACACAGCGTACGCGCACATACAAATCGCCCGCATCAGATTAATCTCGTACAATAGTTCAAGTCCGTCATAATGAAGATGTGCGCTTTTCAATTCATTAATGAGGCTCCCACAATGTTATTGATAAGTATTAATGCTGGTTTTGTCGATGTTCTGTTATTATTTGTAACTGTTACACGTAGGTACGTCAATTTTTAAACCGAAATTTCAAATTATTCTTTTACTAAAAAGTTTTTTTTTTATTTTTTGTTGTTTTTTTTTTGTTTAAGAAAAGAATGTATATAATTGCATGGAATGTGGTAATTATAGGTCATCTATTGACACTTATAGTTCAATTGTTGTAGCAAAAAGCCTCTGGTTTAATTTCTGAACGCTTAACCAATTTTAGTATGAAGCCATTTAATTTAATATGCCCAATAAGCGCAAAAAATTAAATAAAAATTTACTCCAATAACATTCTTATAAGGTATGTGTAGTGTAATAAGACGGACGGTAAACTACGTTCATATTGATAATCGACGGTTATTATGCAGGCGCTCATTAAGTCGCCAGTCTCTCACACGAAACCGCAGAACACTGCTAAGTAATTACCTCTAACATGCTTTCTTCACGAAAAGATCGTAAAGGTACGAGTTTATTGTAGAAATGTACCAAATCAGATGCTAAACAGAAAATGTCGAGGAACGATTAAGCACAGTGAAATTGAGGGAAGTTGGTCCGAACGATTTACTTATTACATTAATAGCAAGTGGAGCGAATGTCTATAATGTTGTATGTAATAGTGGTAGTCTCGTTACACGTGGGAAAGTAGGTGTACTCGGCTACTACATGGTGAGGTGTGTGTTTCATAGTTTATCTGGGACCTTCGTTTAAGGTAATTGATCTGATCTTGAAACATGGGAAAAGGTTTTTTTTGTTTGTTTATTTTACTAAAATTAAACATTCTAAAATCTATTATGATTCATAATATTAGACAAGTCGTTTCTATAAGGTTTTTACGTTTAAACAATCATCTCATCATCTAAACTGTACATTACAGGTACGTGAGTCAAAATATGAAAGCATAATCGACGCGAATTATTTTGTAGATAATAGCTTAACGGAATACAGATAAGTATTACTTATTATCTTACAAGATCTTAAGCAGACGTAAAAGTAAAGAGAAAATTGTAATTAAAATCGCTCCCCATTTTACACAAAACAGTGACATAGCAGAAAACAAATGAACTCGAGCGTATACTAATTACAAAGCTCTCATGAGCGAAATAATACTAATCTCGTACTACGATTAGTGATGTTTAATTTAACTTTCCCATTAATTTGTCGTTTAATTATTCTTACAGAGAAATGAGAAAAGAAACCGGAGATGTGACACATACTGGAACACGATGAGATGTAAATTGAAATCAATCATGGTTTTTAGTGAAGTTAATAATTGCTGAGGACAAAAATTAAATTTGCTTCGGCGGTAGTTATTAACTAGTATTAAGAAATAATTATTTAATTTGTGCCGATTGGATTATTCAACATAGATTGGCTTTTGATGGTCGTCGCGTGAATCTTCAGGTATCCTGGCAGGCGCCACTCGGCCAATGTGCTCTTAGGAACCTTCAATTTGCGTCTGTAATTATTGCGGACCCTTCGATACTTATTTCTATTTTTTCGAGGCTTAATTGTTGCCACAGATGACTTTTTTGTCGAACCACTTCAAAGAGAGCGGAAAGGCATCAAACGGAGCGTCGAATTTGGAAATAATTATACATAAATAGTCCCTTGAGCGGCCGATTAAGACAATTTCCGAGGCAAATTGCCGCAGACGAGCATAATAGCACACGCGCAGCTTCGTCATAAATAAATCTGGATTACGTTTCTGTACAAGATTAAGATTGATTCGATCTCGATGCTTTCTGCTATTAATGGTTATGCTGGATAATGCCTCGATCGTGTTAAAATTTTAAATCATTATATTTCGTTTTTGTGCGTCTGATTTGTAAGATAATTACGACCGACAAATTGCCAGGCGTCATTAAAAGATAACGGGTGGACTGTATCGGGCTGACCATTGTACGTAATTAATGATCGATACATGTGAAATAATTAATTAGCGGCCGGGGTCGGATCGGATCCTAAGACGCCTGGGGCTGCATCACAAAAAACAATGACGTGCGGTTTTTGATTGCGTTGGCGCCGCTCAAGCCACGGCGACATCCGCCACTCTGAA